AGAGCTGGAGGTGCTGGAGTGTGAAGTGAAGGAAATGGCAGAGAAGATTTTAGAGTACAGAGCCACTTTACCAGATCAGCTCAAGAACACCTTCGCCTCAATTTTCGCTGCTCAGAAACCCCTTTTTCTGAATGGGTCGGATCCTGGGACTTCCGGAGCTCCGAATTCGGGTGCATTTCTTTTAACTTCTTGTTGTGTTCTGTATACTTTTTAGGGTTGTTGGATAATGAATGCCGTGGTTCTCAGATCAGATTGATATTGTTTGAAAACTTTTAACGTCTGGTTGGTAGCTAGGAAAAACGAGGTTGGGATTGAGAACGAAAAGTTTGGTCTTTTTAGACATGATTTATTTGGGTTTCTCAGAAATTTCAGAATCAAAATTGGGTCTTTTGTGAAAAGAGTGAAGTAAGGTAAAGTGTGCGTGTTAGGAAACTGAAAGACTCCCTAGCTTGGAAAATGTCAAGAATTATAACTTGAGGTTCATTTCTTTTCATATAATTTTGGTTTGCACAGAAGATGGAAGCTTGGTACGAGGAACCCCCTTTTGGGAGCCCAAGTGGGATTTTAATTTTCTTTGGTGACTGCAAAGATATTTGAACGGATTTTTATGTTTCTGTGGCAATAACGATATAAATAGGAAAGCTTGTGTTGGCATAGTGTTTAAGGCATCCATCTTTTGTGGTAGTGATCATACTAGCATTAGTGCTTTCACACACCAGACATGGCTGATTTTGATGCTGTGCCTCTTTTGCCATCTCAAGAAAGGAGGCTCATTGGTGGAAATGCTTACTTGAGAGATAAAATTCCTCTCCCTTGTATTATGCTCTTTAAGAATGGGGAAATCAGTGAACCAACGGTATGTTGCTCTGTTGCATGGCAATACTGATGGATGAATGTTATTGAAGGCAAGATTGGTGGTAGTCACCGTGTGAAAGTGGTCGTCTTAGTTGAATTAATTGTAGCACACAAGTGGAGATGATGTCTTTTTTATGTAGTTGAATATATGGCTTTTGTTTGGCACAGGCCGCAGGGGTGAATTATTTTATGATTGTGATGGTGAAAATGATGAGTCATAAATTACAATGGTAGGACTATGATAGTAAAAGCAATAGCTTTTGTTTCAACTAGGTTTCCCCCTTTCTCTATTGGTGTTGCTTGATTAAAGTTTTGAAATAACCATCTCTAAGAAACTGTTGTATGGTTTTTTGCTCATAGATTGGTGCTTTATTTACCTGGGGTAGAATTTCTTTCGTCTGTCATTAAAACCTTTTCCATGATTTCCTATATTACCTTGATTGAGTATGCCTATACACTCTTTGTTTTCAGTGCCTACTTATCCCCCAAAGTTAGAAAAGTGAGGTAGCATGGAATTTCCATTTTTTAGGGTAAATTTCCTGGTGTGGTTGAAGCACTTAACAAACTTATATTTTGCAGAGGCAGGTCAAGTGGCTTCTAATAAGGGGGCATTACTGGCTAATGGAGATCAGACTTCCGAGAAGTTGCGATTGTTTAGAGATAAACTTTCCAGCAATGTTGCTGCCTTGCCTATTGTTTTGAAGAGGATGACAGAGTGTATTTCAAAGATTGACAATTTAGACTCTGAAAACATAATCATACATCCTGCATTTAAAAAGAAAAGGACTAGTTGACCGAGTTTTCAACCCTTGAATGACTGCTGTATCACCTGTTGATTGATGTAGAATGACACATGTTTTGAAATTTGATCAAATTTGATTCGTATGATCAAAACTCGTATATGATGATGTAATTACTCAAGAAAAGAGTGCTTTGAAGTATATCATAATATGTTGCAAATTTCCCAGAAAGCTCCTCTTTCAGATATCCTCGTGCGCTTGTTCTTTATGTTTCTGTTCCTTATTTTTACTTTTTCTCTTTCAGATAGCCTATTACTGCTATTTAAATAATTCATATGTAGGTTTTCATTGTTCCATATTTCCCTAAATATTGTGAGGTAAGAAGGTGACAAGCCAGTTAAACCATCAGGAAGAAGAGGAACAAAGCTTTGTACCTCTGACAAATCTTTTAGCTCCAAAATTCACATTTTTATCAGTAACCAAAGAACTTAAAGAGAAAAATAAATCCTTGAAATTTCAGATAATTCCAATAATTTAAACCCAAGATCACTTTTTTCCTTCTCTTTTGGTAATTGGTTTTTTGGTTTTCCATTGGGCCTGTAAATCTTTCAAACATCCAACTAATTAAAACATTTAAAACTTAAATCTAAAATTAGCACAAAGTCCTAGGCTTGAGCATCGGGTCTCAATACCAATGGTTTCTTACCAATCCAATTTTTTATTGGATTACAGATTTCACAAGCCAATCCAATACAATCGAATGTCAGGATTCAATTTAATCCAATCCATTATGCATTGGATTGGATTGAATTGGATGATGGATTTGTATGAAAATATAATCATTGCAAAAGAACTTTAGTCTTTCATTACATATAATTCAAAATTTAATACAATCAAAGATACAATATGAAATTTAAAAACAACATTACATTAAGAATTACATCCATTCTTTCAAAACAAACTTTAAGAACTCTTTCAGGCTTCCACGTCCATCAATCCTTCCAGTTACTGAGCATGCAATCATCCACATCAATTTTCATTCAATGTAAGTTTTGATGTAGGACCTAGAATTTCTACAAAGAATAGAATGTCATATTAAGATAAATATAATAAAACCAGTAATTTAAAATATGAAACTTATCTTCAAATAATGTATACCTGATTCAATGTCTTCAATATCATCTATGATCTAAAGAATATTAGTTTTTGGTGAAGAATGTAATCAATTTTGTGTGCAAATGAGTGCCTCCACTGTTCTTGGGAATAATGAACTCCTATATGGATCGAGAATGCCACCACCAGTACTGAAACATCTCAGATGCTACAATAGACAGTGGCGGATCCAGGAAGTTTTCAAAGGAGGGGCAATAACATTTTGATAGGACGGAATTTAAAAAAAAAAATTAAAGAACATATTATAATGATTATTATAATGAAATATATATTACAATAGCTATAATCAAGTAATTGAAGCAAAATAATCAATCTGAAAACTATTTTTATCCAGGCTGACTTGCTAAGGAAATAATAATAAGCTAGGGAGGTTTATAGAATTATACATACATATATGCTGCAGTGATAACGATTTGGTTTTAACAGATTGCTCAAGACTCAACATTTCACTTTTAACTAGTTGGGCTGTAAGTAAGGTTTTTATTAATTTATTAATTTAGTTAGAGTTTGGGCAGGAAAATGAATTTTATTTCACAAAAATGATAGAGTTTGACTTTTAATTAACTTCAATGAAACGTGCGTTTCATTAAACAAAACTAAAGGATGACGTCATTTGTGAAAAAGAAAATTAGGGTATAGAGTTATCTTCTTCCTTCATGAACCATCGCCTAAACCTCCATTAGAGACACCTCTGCTACACATCATGCACCTCACATTGCCTTGAACCATGCTAGTATGTGTAACTAGCCAAACTATTGGCTCCTTGAGGTGATTTCCAAACCCCTTACATAGCGCTTTAAAACCTTGGGCTCTGGCACAGAAGGGCAAATCTAGCACCTCCATGGCTTTTTCCCGATGAGGGGATGTTCAGGTGCATCGCCTTGCGGCTCTGTAGGTCCGCCACTGACAGTAGAGACAGGTATTGCCAAAACATCTCGTGCAATACAAGACAAAATCTTATGAACTCCTACACTTGCTGCTTATTGATAGGCAGTTGCTATGAAGCACGAACATGGATACGAATACAGTGATACGATACGACACGACATGCAAATACTGCAAATCTCCAAAAACTATGATATGATGAGGTTAGGAATATGGCAATTAAAAATATATATTAAAATATAATAAAACAATATATATAATTCCAAATGTATTTTAAATAACATAAATATTCAAATTCATCAACCAAATTCAAATTTGAATAATGAAAACCACAAGTCTCAATCAACTTCAATATTTGTAATGTCTTCCCAAATTATTATTTTTGAACGAAAAGGAACTTTATTAAGAGGCAAAAGCCACAAACATAACAAAAAATTATTCCCGTGGTCCTTCAACTTCAATTTCGTTAGGATAAATGGTTCTGCAGTCAATTTTATTAATTTTTCTTTTAAATACAGGGGCAAAATGATAATTTTTATTTATTTATCAAAATTGATTAAAGAATCTGATCAGAAAAAAAAAAAATCAGTTGGCATACCCATACGCATGCCTCCCTCTCCCTTGTTTTTTTAGTTTGATGACTAAAGAATTCTTATGCCGGCCACTCCAATGTCATACCCATTACCTTTAGGTATTTTATTTTTTTATGAGCACTTTTTTTTTTTTTTTTTTTGGCAAATACATATATATATTTTTTTGTCTGATCATATACATATATATAGGCTAATATAATTTTTTTTGTGCCCCTCTCAATCGTGGGCCCCGGGCGGTGGCCCTGGTTGCCCTGGCCAATGGCCGGCGGGCCGGCTCTGCCTCTCAATGCACCAGTGTTTCAACTCTTACCTGGTCTTTGTTCAAATGAATCATTTGCTGCCCATTGTTAGGCAGTTGGTTCAACCGGCAGTTGATTCCCATTTTGGCAGCAGCAAAATGAAGACAAAATTGTCTTCAATTTCTGCCATCATTTACGGCCACATGACTTTCTCCACCATTTAAAATTGCATGATGTTTTAACAAAGAGTCTGAACAGTTCTCACATTTCGCGTGGTCAAGGATTTAAGACTTCATTTCCGACTTATGGACTCTCATCTCAAAGAGTCTGAAAGCGGTTTTGTCAGAATTCTGTCTTAGGATAAAGAGTCAAGTCAACCCTGTTTCGTCAATCTTGAGGTATCATACAAGCATATATATGTACTTCACTAGTTTTGCATGTATGCTTACTTTGGTTGTGCTTTATCTTTTTCCTAAAGAGTTTCCCTTGTCCGTCTTGATCATGACTGTAGCTAACATGGCTGAAGCAAGGTGCTGCTTCAAACAACTCTGTGCAATTGTGGTGGTGCTTTTACTAAACATGAACAGTCCTTGCATTGGATGTAGCGAGAGGGACAGGCAAGCACTCCTTGCACTCAAACAAGGCCTCGTGGGTGACGACGGCGATCGCCTCCTGTCATGGGGAACAGAAGCCCAAAACAGAAATTGTTGCCAATGGGAAGGAGTCTACTGTAGCAGCAACCAAACTGGCCATGTTGTTAAGCTTGATCTTGAAGACCAATCTTTGCGAGGTAAGATTAGTCCTGAACTCGTTAAGTTGCAACATTTGGAATATTTGAACCTTCGTTTCAATAATTTGAGTCAGAGCCAAATTCCAGATTTCACTGGATCTCTGAGCAATTTAAGACACCTCGACCTCTCTTCTGCTAATTTTGGAGGTCAAATTCCAAACCAACTTGGAAACCTTACACACTTGCAATATCTCGATCTCAGCTCTCATTATTATTCTGTTATACGCCCTAGGAACTCTATTCATGCACAAAACCTCAATTGGCTCCCTAATCTTTCAGGTCTGGAACACTTGGACCTAAGTCACACTAATCTCAGTGATGTTGTTGGTTGGCTGGAAGCAGTTAATGTGTTTCCTAAACTAACAAACTTGATATTAGATGGGTGTAATCTTCCTCCTCCAATTATATCCTCTGTTTCTCTCATGAATTCTTCTAACTCTCTTGTTCATGTTGATCTCTTCCGCAACAATCTCAACGCTTCAATTTTCCAATGGTTGTCTGGTACTCATACCAACCTTGTTTATCTTGATCTCTCTTGGAACAATTTCAGAGGTTCCTCAATTCCTGCATCTTTTGGAAACATGAGCTCTCTTGAATATCTTATTCTCCAGTGTAGCAAACTTGAAGGAGGGTTCCCGAATTCCTTTGCCAAGCTATGCAGGCTGCGACGCTTGGATCTTTTGGAAACATGAGCTCTCTTGAGAGGAACAGTTGGAAATATTAGATGGGAGTTTGCAATTGGAGGGTCCAATCCCTTCAATTCTATCAAAAGCTTCAATTCTAGATCTCTCCCATAATAACTTTTCAGGGGCAGCTTCTTTTTTGTGTGCAACCAAGGATAGTAATTTAACCTTTCTTGATCTCTCCAACAATCATGTTTCTGGAGAACTTCCGGATTGTTGGATCCATTTTAAAAAATTAATCTTTCTTGATTTGAGCAATAACTATTTATTTGGAAAAATTCCCACCACGATGGGGTACTTGTTTAGTATTGAGACACTAAGACTAAGTAACAATAGATTTGTGGGAGAGTTGCCTTCACAATTGAAGAATTGTACAAAGTTGACACTTTTGGATCTTGGGGAAAATAACTTATCATGCTCAATACCTGAATGGTTAGGGGCTAGTCTTCCAAATTTGGCTATCTTAATCCTTCGAGGTAATCAGTTCTATAGAAGCATCCCGCCCCAAATATGCCATCTGACACGCATTCAAATTTTGGATTTGTCGATGAACAACATCTCTGGAACTATATCCAAATGTCTCAACAATTTGATTGTTTTGGCTCATAACGGAAATTCAAGTCTGACTATCGAACATTTATATACAACTCATCTGGAAGAAGGAGATATTCTTTGGAATTATGAGGAGGAAGCATCTTTAATATGGAAAGGGGTAAGGTCTAAATACAAAAGTACTCTGGGACTTGTAAAGAGTATTGATCTCTCAAGCAATAAGTTGATTGGGGAGATTCCTAATGAAATCACTGATCTTGTTGGTTTGGTTTCTTTAAACCTATCGAGAAACCAATTGACAAGTCAAATACCTCCAAGGATTGGAATGTTGCTGGAGTTAGATTCCCTTGATTTATCAAGAAACCAGATTAATGGCAGAATTCCAAACAGTCTATCTCGAATAGATCGTATTGGTTACTTGGACTTGTCAGAAAACGACTTGTCTAGAAAAATTCCAATAGGCACCCAGCTCCAAAGCTTTGGTCCATCTTCTTATGGTGGAAATCCTCTACTTTGTGGACTGCCACTCCTAAGGACATGCGATGAGGACAAAGAAGGTCCAAGACAAACTGTGTTGGTGAATCAAGACGATCAAGATGGGCTCATAACGCAAGGATTTTACATCAGCTTGGGGCTTGGGTTTGCTGTTGGATTTTGGGGAGTTTTTGGCACTCTTCTATTCAACAGGTCATGCAGATATACATACTTCAATTTCTGGGCTTGTTTCATAGATTGGTTGTACGTGAAGGCAGAAATCATCAGGCAAAGGGCGCCTAATACTAGATAAATGGTAATTACTACTATCTCTCTCACATACTATTTTTGAAATTCAATGATGCAAGTTAGTTGTTCTTTATCCTGAAATGCATGCAGATATTACAGAACATAATTAATATTTATTTATAAATAAATAAGAAAAGGAAACATGAACTTTCTTTCTTTTGCTATATAAAAGGAACATGCATGTATGATTTTGTTGACTGGTTATAATCATGCTTCCCTTAGTGTTTAGCACAGGCACCTTTGAGATGACATGCTTCCCTTCAGTTGAAGATGGACGAGACAAAGGACTGCTATTTGTACTAGCTTTCGACACGCTTAATTGCCTTTTACTGTATTGCTAGTATGAATAAAACAATGGAATAATTTGAGTTAAGTGATTCAATCACTGAAATAAAAGGGTTGTAAATCTGGTAAAGGCACTTTACTAACATTATCTTTCGTCTGTGTAAGAAAGAAAATACTTACTTTGAAAGTCCAGTATTTTATTTATTTATTTTTGTTAAGGTTCTCTTCTCTGTATGAATACCCAAAAAAAAAAAAAAAAAGTAATACATTTGTAAGCTCCCAGTGTGGGGCACTAACCCATGATCACAAAGTGAAGAGCCTTGCGCTCTACCAACTGAGCTAGACGGGCTTTTGCTTTACGTGAACTCTCAGGGGGTATATATAGTAAATACACAAATCTTACCACAACATCACAGCCATTCACGTCGTGTTCAAACCCTTGGGGATGTCTACCGGTGCAAGTGTTATAAATAGCTTCACAGCTTTTACTTTTTAATCAAGAATGGTAAACCAACAAATCTTATAAATAATTTCATGTTTATGAGACATCCAAATACATCCAAGCATGTTTCCAAGACTCCTTCGGCAACAATAATTTCAAATCAAATTGATAAACATTTACAGCTGATTACATCATCATCAGAATTCAAGTTAGGTATTGAAGAACTAACCATCACCCCTTCCATATTCCCTGCATTCTCAACATCAAACATGACTGCTAAGCCCCTTTCCTACAACGTAAAATTTCTTCCCAATAGCTACAAGTTGACAGGGCGCCCTAGTGACCAAGGATGACAGCCTCCCAACAGGAATCCACTCCCTAGACTCCTTCTGCCATATCATCAGCCTGGTTCCTGAACTCTGATCCAACACATAGAGGGTCCCATCTACGGCAACTGCTGGACCCCGCCTGCCGCCAACCATGTCGGCATCTGCATGCTGCCATGTGCCACTTGATGGTTCATAAAAAACAGCGTACACATGAGAAGTTAGAGCAGAAGTCCCACAGCGAATGTAGATCTTCCCATCCATGACCACAGAATCCTCAATTTCAGGGACAATGCTTGGATCAGAGTGAAATCTCCAACTATTGGTGCAAGGGTCATAGATGTCCCAAGAATTTGGATCACTTGAATTTGAACCTAAACCACCAAAGGAAAATACTTCACAAGCGAAATAGCACCTGCATGCACAAGAAAAATAAATTAGCAAAGGCTCTTTACAATTATAATAATAACAAAAAGCAAACTAATATGAGAAATCTATATGCTCTGACAGGTCAAAAGACGAAGTTGCCAATCTTTAGCATTGCAATAGTGTTCCCTCAGCAGATAATGTGATATATTTGAACCTGGGAGAAATTATTCCAGCTTTAACCCATGAAAAACTCTGCAGAAAGTACAAGTGAAGCATCATAACAGTAGACCTCGCCAGTAGCACTTCACACCAACCACAACCACCCAACAGGTAAACTTTGTTTCCCCGCATTTTGAAACCCATGCCTTTTCTCTTCAAGACGCGAGGCGGAAGTCCATGAACAAGCTTCCATGACCTTCTTGATGAGTTGGGATCCAACACATAACAGCAAAGTCGGTCCAACTTGTCTCGACACAAAGCATAGATCCAAGTCTCATCAAGTTTATGCTATTGACGGTAAGTATGCCACTCTTCACTGCACACTAAGTCTCCCCCATCTTTTTGAAACACATTTTAGGAGTGTAAGCCAAATTTGAAATTAGCAAAGCAACAGTTCCAAAATCCTACTGTTCTTTCTGGTTGAAGTACATTAGGAAGTATAAAATGGTCTCTCTGATTCTTTCTATCTCAATGCTGCTTGAATGGTAGGGCTAGCAGAGATTCTTGAAGCCTACCCCATGATATTAGTATAAAAGGGATTCATTGATGATTTTGATAAATGGCAACGGGCGTAATGTTTTCATTTGAATGAGTTGTACACCATGATTCTTCAAAAGGGATCAGTGAGTGAAGATGTTGTAATATTCCGATTTCAGATCAGTTTGGTATGTAATTTTACACTTTAGATTAAGAATGAAAATTGTGTCAGTAATCCCAGAAAGATGGGTTGTTTGAGAGTGTCTCTGCTGAGGATGCAGTACTACTTTCTTGATCATCTGGTAGCACATCAACTGAAAACCGGTTGGGGGTGTCCAGCACATGCAGGCCTAGGTGCAAACCCAGACCAAGGTAAGCCATCTGCTGCAATATTTCTTTCCATTGTAGCCCAATTGCATAAAGTCTTTTAACAATCATTAATGAACCCAATCATCCCACACTCAACTTTTATTACTCATCTACATATTTATTGAAAACATAAAAATAAGCCCACCCACAATCATCCATTTATTAAAAATGAATGAAAGAAATATCTAGAAAGCCACAACCCATCACGTTAAGAACTGTGTGCTGCCTTTCTCCCTATATCCCGAGCCTCTGTATTTATCATCCGTGCATTTACACGCATTTAAGATAATGTTAACCATTAGCTTAATCTAATGAACTTTAATCAATCCACATCATCATAATTGTATTAAACAAAAAATAACCATTTGCACCTTATTATATTTATCTAATAACTCTGAACAAACAAAATTTGTCCCAGCAAGCAGCAACCCTACCCCATTGCATTGGTATAAAAACGAATGTCGTTGATGATTTGATCAATTGCAATGGATGTGATGTTTTCATTAGAATGAGTTACACACCATAAGGTGGTTGTAATATTCTTATCAGTTTAGTATATATATATTTTCCCATGAATTTCCTTGCAAGACAACTAACTTGTTGCTCATAATCTTGGTGCATTGCTGTTTGCTGTTTTGCTGTTGAGATTAAGAACATGACGGGGCAGAGAGGCTCGGTTTATTAGCCGAAAGGAGATGATTCCTGGGGAGACCCCTGGAATCAAAAGAGTTTGGAGGGTTTTGGGTGGAAGGAGAAAAAGAGGAGGCAAATATCCCTATCTTGGGCCCATGATTCTAGGCACTTCAAGATAAATTGGACTTTTCTCATAAAAGTGAGAAGAAATTCATCTTTTGTACTTTTCTGGATACAGACAAGAGCTTCATCTTTCGACAGTTGCACATTCATCCCAAATTCAGTGCTTCATCTTTTGTATTTTTTTTGTGAGCCACGCATTCAGTCTTCCAATACCAAATTTCCACAAGTCTTCTCATCCATTTATAATTCCAAGATGCTTTCAATTACTAACACAAGTGCAGATCATTGCTGTGGTCCTGTTTGGTGAATATGTGGCTCTGTTTTGGTCACCTGTTGCTCGATTCTCCTTATGACTTGTGAATCTACTTTTCTTTGCAGCGTGTTTTAGACGAACCCAGTTTCGAGTGAAACATTTAAGTCCATTACTTGTCTACTTCAGTCAAGGAGAAATTTGAAGCAGAAGACAATAATGGAAATAAGAAAATGACGCTTCACATATGTATGTATGGCGTCCAAATTGGCAGCTCAGAAATATCAAGTTCCGTAGACTAAGTAGATAGGGAGGGAGGACCAAATTTGGTAACCACTCCTCGTTTATTTTCGTGCACTGAAAAGTCTCCACTTACTAAAGAAGTTGTACGTAAAGTAATTGAATAGGTATACATGTATACGTAATTGGATGTTTTTATTTTTGCAGACTCTTTGCAATCGGTGTGGGATCAGGTTCCAAAAGAACAAGCAAAAACAAGAAAAAGAGCAGAAGGTTGCGGAAGCAGCTTTCAAAGCTTCATGCGGCCTCCAGGCTTTAGTAATTTGGATACTGCAATTAAAAATATATATTAATATATAATAATAACAATATATATATAAAATTTCAAACATATTTTAAATAACATAAATATTCAAATTCATCAACCAAATTCAAATTTAAATTCAATTCACTCAAAATATCATCCAAATTTAGAACAACCAAACTCTAGAATAATGAAAACAAGTCTCAATCAACTTCAATATTTGTATTGTCTTCCCAAATTAGTATACCTACATATGCTAAAAAAAAACTCACAAATCGTATTTCCCTTTGTTAGGTAGACTACCTCGACACTCGGAACCCATTTGGTAAGTAGTTCCCATTAAAAATGCATGGGTTGTTCCTAATAAACCATACCAATTTTAGGTTTTAATCTAATTTTCCATATAATATCTACTTCAAAAGTTTGTTGCATTTCACTTTCTTTGGTCATGTGTGTTTATCTTCAATTTCAGCTCAATCTAAGATCTTATGCACGAATCTGTCACATTTATGAATTGTTAACGATTCTCCTTCTTGTGAATCCATATGTAGAGAAAGACGCTTTTTTCATATTCTGAGCTTGACCAATTAGTGTCCGGCCAAACCTTATCAAGCTTGCAATCAACAAAGACATGTTTTTAATTCTCCAGAGCACACTTGTATCAACTCCTTACAATTGTAATTGTAAGATATATCATTATTTCCTGTTGTGCTTTTAACTGTGTTAAACCAAGATTCATAAATAACTACACCACAACGCAAATCACAATTAAACAAAATAAAATACAAAGAGTAAAAATACTAATGCGCGAGAGATTTACAAAGTTTGACATAATCATGTGTACATACGTATTTAGACAGAATTTACTATGAGAATAATAACAGTACAAAATACATTGAGTTAAATCAACAACAAAACAAGAACTTTTTTTATTTCTTATCTCTTGCTTTGCTCTTGGATAATCTCT